GCGGAAATTACGCATTTAATTTACAGTTTAGTTATGTGTAACTAGTGGGCGAAGTGGCACTTTGCTGCACACCGCACACGAGAGAAACGTTTACGCACGAGCCGTAGGTGAGTGCAGCAAAGCCAGTTTGCACTGCGTTACATATTATATTTTTCATACAGTTACTATAAAGCATATAGGTAATTATTCTTTCAAACACTGTACAACACATTTTTAGGCTAGCTTAAATCCAAACATTAAAAGAAATGGGAAACGCTGCACTAGCTGATCGTAGTCGTAATATCTTAAAGTGTTGCCAACTTATTTTCAAGCATACACGTATTACGTGCTTAATAAAAGCACGCTTTTTGTGTTGGTTGGTTGGATACTGGTGTGCGACAAAGTAAAAACTGTGCGGCAAAGTAAGTAAATGCAGCAATTAGTAGCTTTCTGTACTATGATCAGTGCAGGGAAGCCTACTTTGTCGGGTTGTTGGAAAAATTAATTTGTTGATTGTAGATTACCACAAAGAGTGATTTTCCTACCTCAATCAGATTATAATCCTCACTAAAAGAAGCTTAAGCTATTTTAAATCAATGTTCAATCGTTTCAATTCTGGTTTACTATTTGACTGTTGTCAAACATTAAACAGAAGGATCAGCTATTAATTATTTTAATTCACATTTTAAAACCATTATTAAGTTTGTCAGCGTCACTGGATCTTTACAAACGAACTCTAAAAAACTAATCGATTTGGGTGAAAGCCTAAATGAAATACCTTTAGTTACTATTAGTCCCTCCACTAAAACATAAGCTATAAAATTACACCTGAATCATAAAAATCTGTTACGAAAGAAGGGAGTAAAAGGGAAGTTACAGAAAACCTTGTTGTATTAAGTATATTGATAGTATTTTTGTTCCTTAACAAATTTAAAATGTGCATACTCTATGTCAATATTTTTCATATAATCTTCAATACCATGACAAAACCTTCTTGATGACAATTATGTTTTGAAAACTTTTGTACTTATCAACTAACAGACTTCGACTGGAAAGATTCTAAGGTACTTGTCAAGTTCAGATTGCTAAAGTAACCATTCGTTTTATTGGTCTTAGGAAAATTGGACGCCTTCCCTAGAACAGCTTATCCCATTTCGGTTCTTCAACTATGTCCTATTTGGATCACAAACACATTTATTTATTGACTATTCAAGTGATTTAAGAATTTATTGGACTTTTTATGACCAGAAGCTAACCCTACACATACCGTTTTTACAATCTCATTGTTCAATGAATATACTGTACAATCAATATATTTCATTCATATTCAGATTAAAATACGTTCCTAGGCCTTAAACATGTTTTTAAAGTAATGAAAATGATATTAATTGCAAGATTTTGGATTTAATACGTGAATTCACTCAAATAATGTTATTTATGGAAAAATAAACATTAAAATTTTAAACGTAATATGCCATTGAACCAGGTAGTTTTATTACCTCATGAAAGTTTTTACTACAACTTAAATATTATCAGCTTCGCTGTTATTTTAGAGCGGAGTGAGCGTAGCCCTTATTTATGAAGCTACCTATAAAAAGCTATTTTTGAAATGTTATGTTAATTAAATTGAGTACAAAAAACCGCAAGCTACTTTTAGCGTGCCAATAAATTGGTCAAACAAATCAATACAGTAGTTATTGCGGGGGTTTTCATTGGCAATATTCACATTTTTTCCTAAAAAGAACATCAGGGGCTAAATAAAAGGCTCAATGTGCAATATTTACATATTAACATCGTAAAATCAAATAGCATCAAATAGCTTGGTTCCTGTATTTCATTATAGTCAATATGAAATCATTTAAGTCTTTAAACCTATTGAATCTGCCCTCGAAATATCGTCGCCAAATTCATTAGCTCATTGGTTTAGCTCGGTGGCCGTTATCTATTATAGTTGGTAAAGATTCTGACTGTCTCAAACAGTTAATCAAAAAACTCATTTGAAATTTTAAATCCGAAACGAATAATGTCCACGAAACAACAATTATGTCATGTTTAGTCATCAGATATGATATTGTGCGGTAATAGTTAACATCTACAACAGATTATCTCACATTGTCTACAACATTGTAATATGACATCATTGTAATCGTCATTGTAATATGATTATAACAGTTCCTACAAGTAATGTATAATGCTATTTGACGTAGTTGTGAAATTACTACGAAACTATCACATGGTTTGGACCGTCACCTCCAAAGCGTGAAAAATACCACGAATGTGTAAAACAGAATACCTATGAGTGTTTGATACCAAAGTAAGCAAATTTATATGGATCAGCTGTAGCTAGTTTTGACTTAGAACACGGTTGAATGGTCTTATTGAGTTCGCTGCTAATAGTATATTTCATCACTAGGGCGTAAAGTGACTCTTTTCGTCGGAAAAAGATCGAGGGTTGAGATGACTCCTTTTACCCGTGTGATAAACTATATTTTTCGTCATATTGCAACATTATTTGAAAAACTATGTTACAAAAACAAATAGTGAAAAGTAACTACAAAAAAACTACTTCTAACTTTGTTTTCAATAATTTGATAATAGAAACAAGCTTTTGTTTAGCAAGTGATTCGTTTCTTCGATTGTGTTAGTACTATTATACTATCGATATGTCACACTATTTACAATAAGGCAACAGTAAACTAACTCGATTAAACGACCTATACATAATTTCGTTACATGCGATTGGTTACAATTGAAATTTACAACCGAGTATCAGCTGATTTTTACTCCCTAGGGGCTAAAAACGATTTTTACTCTCCAATTTAGACCCGCAACGCATATATTGAAAACGGCTGTTTTTGCTGCAGCATGATGAAAAAAAATATTCTATTTATCGTTTAGATTTTGATACTACGATTTTAGTGGCTGTTATGAACATAAAAGATGATATTTTAATCTTTTTGACTTGTTTTTAAGGTAGATTTCTAATTAAGGGTTGCAACGTGAAGAGCGGTCAAAATCAAGGGCATTTGAACATAACATTTGTTATTAAGGGTTCCATGCTTGCTATTGAGTGTCTTGTTATCGAGGTTCTACTGCAGTTGTAATTTCAGATCGGCACTAATAAAAGAATGATTCAGGACGAACGAGAATTTCACATACCAAGACAACAACAGCTCACTGTTGTGGGTTGTAATATTAGGTAATTGTAGGAAAAGAATATTGTAGCATACTCATAACTTACTCGAAAACAAGTGGGCACAATGGGGCTGAAACGGATATTTGCACCCAAAACTCAAATAGGCTAGGTCAATTATTTTGCCGAATCACAATACTTTTTCCAAATTACTATGTATAGTATAGTGAGAGATATAAAAATACACACTTAGATTGAATTTAAGCACTTGAGGATGGAAAACAATGCGTTGGTAATGTGATTACAGTTTAACATCAGGTATTGTTTATTTAATTCCAAAGAGGTAATGTAAATATGATAACGAACAGCTGTTAAACCGTCAGATAAAATTAATTACAATCTCCCTTTTATTCCTTCAAGTATCCAGCCTTCCAGTTATGCCAAACATTTTAAGAATATAGAAATACCAGAAATACAGATACAAGAAATAGTTGAAGTATCAACAAGTTTTAAGCTGGATATTAAAGAAGAATTCACCATCTACAAAGCTAAAAAAACTCGACCCATGTAACATTCTAAATGATCAGACTTCTTTCATGTCAAATATTATATTTGGTGTATTGACAAGTTACAAATCAAAGAAGTATAAAATAAGAAGAACAAAACAAACTGAAATACAGGTGGCACTGGAGTGAAGAAGAAACATTATGATTCAGTCAGTTTTATTTAGTCAGTGGCAGTGATAGACAGTGACTGTACAGTTTTCATTAGCTTTACAGTTTTAGTTATCAATTTTAATTATTTTCTCAACATGCCAAGTTTCAACTTAGTGGGTTAATAGTATTATTTTAGAACTGGTTGGATCTTGAATATGACAATTAGGACATTTCCTTCGCGGAAGTGAAACTGTAGTCAAAGATAAACTGAACATTTATTTGAAAAACCTCACGGGTTTCATACAAGCACATACGTTTTGACTCACAAACACTATATTAACATATTGAAAATGAGTTTTAGGTGCTAGGCCTAGGCATTTTCTTTTTAGAACGAAAGTTCTTCTAAATGTAACGTAAGTTTGTATAGCAGTGCTGAATTAGAGTGTTTGCTCTTTTAAAACTGTCCATGTATAAGTTATTGATTTTAGTATTTTATATGTACCAATTACTATTTTCATCAACGTTGGTTTACTATCAAAGTGATCTGCAAATCATTTGGTATGGTTCCCCTTTTGAACTTGTGATATTTTAAAGACAATTCCATACTCAATGTTATACAAATAGTAAAAACATGTAAATTCAAGAGTTTATGCGAAAAACATTGAGCGATTAACAATTCATTCACTGGTTAAGAAATATATATATATTCCCGAATACATCATCGTAATTTCGATTCCACTTCGCACTCGTTTAGGAAGCTATCAAAGAATTTCTGAGCTGGTATCTCACATTTTGGAGGTTGTTGAAAAATTAAAAGACGACGCCTAACTGTCAATTGCTGTTAAAACTGACCACTTGTACACGAATATACTCAAAGTTTCCAATACGGTCCAAAGTGAAATCTGCTTCATTGGCTAAGGCGAAGGCTTATCAGATCGCCCAATAACTTCTCCATCATTGGTGACCCGACTGAACCGCATGTTCTAAACCCATATCCTAAAGGTCCACTAACAATGGATTGGGATTCGAACAAAATAAATACTTTATTTCCTTCGAAAATACTTATTAAATACCAATCCATCACAAAAACCGATAATTTCTCAGATACCTACTCGATACGGACGAGAAGGGATGGGTCCGACTCCGCTACGAGTACAGTCACCCCCAAAAGTGTGTACACCACTGGGTATCTTGCACTGTGACAACTAGATGCAACGATATGTCAATCTTACCTTTATCTAATGAAGGTGAATTAAACGTAATGTGCAGAAGTCATTCAGAGGAACCCCCGAGCAATGGCGTCCCGACGCACTAGCGAAACCTACAGAGCGTCGCGACAACCTGATATTGATTGTGGGCGTCCATTCACAACCCCCTTCGAGAGTAGCGGGTATTCGATATATCGATCGATTGGTATCGATGAGTAATCGATTGTGACGATGGATGTACAGTAAACATTTTTGTTAGTGTCAAAGTTGTGGTCAAAGTGCTACTGGTGGTTAACTATAAAGGTGCGCTACTATAACTCAGAAAAGCTCTGTTCTGAAAGACGCTGTTCCGAAACAAATACCTCACTAAGGCAGTGCTCCGAAAATAAATCCTCTCAAAGGCAGTGCTCCAAAAATAAAGCCTCTCAAAGGCAGTGCTCCAAAAATAAAGCCTCTCAAAGGCAGTGCTCCGAAAACAAAGCATCTCCAAAGGCAGTGCTCCGAAAAGAAAGCATCCCAAAGGTAGTGCCATAGATGAAGTAATATAATTCTTCATCTATGGTAGTGCTTCGAAAAGAAAGCCTCAACACTAAGGCAGTGCACTAATGGTGTCGCTCCCTAAAAACACGTCACTCAGGCACTGGTCCGAAAATGTGTTACGGAGTAGTAACTCTTAGATCTGCCTTCTTGATGCTTGGATCTCAACTAGCAGGGTAATTTCATGTCATATCTGTTGTTATTATAGTAAATAAACTGATAGAACAAATAATATTAAAACATTAGCACACTATGGGACTTAATCGACAACTCAATAAAAAACTGGAAACGGTTGTATTAAATAGGGGTGTCTACTTCAGTATCCAATTTCCCATGGATTAGAAGCCGATTTGTATATACTTGAACGATTTCAGTAGGTAACATTTATTTATATAAAGTGGGGCGTCACAAAGTGAGCTTACTTCATTGGATATGTTTTTGGCAGCACTCAAATCTACGACTAACACTTAACTGTCGAACAATCAATACAGCCGTTTTATGGATAAGAGTATTTGCAGTGATGAATAAAATAGTTGAATAATAAAACTAGCATGTTAGACAAATACGAAAATCTACTGTCCTTCAATTACGAAAGAGTTTTATAACATTACCTTGAACATTATAATATTATACATTATAAACACATATATATTACATATATATTCAAAATTACAATAAATTGGATGGCGTGATTCAATTTCAATTCAAAAGAAACTGTTATCAAGGCTAAATACTCTAGCTGTCATCTACTGATAAACTTTATTGCAGGTTAATAGAAGAAATAATCAGAATACTCATTAAAGAAATAATTTTGAATTTTATTTGCACTGGGTATAGGCCCTTCGGGTTTTGTCGTCAAAATAATTGGTACGTTCGTTTTATACTGTAATTTAATTTTGTTACCCAAGAATATCAAACTAAGGCGTTCAAACAACGTCATAACGTCACCAAGATAAACTGTGTCAAGTTTTAATATCATGTTACCTTAAACGAACAATGCTCTCCTTATCCAATATTTCTGACTTTGTAGAGTGAGAAAAACTCAATAATATTTTACTATTTTTTACAAAATCTACATTTTTTACTTTTCCTTGGACCATAGACTTTTATTTCTTTTACGCATTGAGCACATTAGAGATTCTTGATTCTAGTGGTTCCAAGCGTGGGACTTCGGTTCCAGGGGTACCGGGTTCAAATCCCGCCAAATCACCAATGTAAGTGTTTTGATTTTCTGTGTGTTTCGTCACCAGTATGGCAACCTACAAGGCCCATGTATTTTTTTTATTAATTTTTTAGCCTATCTATATCTTTAAAAGAGGAACTATGTATGTATATATATGTGTATATACGTTATGGACTCCGAAACCGCTCGACAGATTGTAATGAAACTTTCAGGCATTATTAAACATCTTTCAAGGATGGTTCGAGTGAAATTTGGTGCAGATCCGTCAAAAGGGCTCTGCCCCAGAGGGTTTTAAGTGGGCCAATGTCAGACTTTTTGATCTAGAATGTTTACAAATAAATATAATTCAAAAGTAGATGTTTACTTTCACCAACTGTTTTGTACGTTTGGGTTTGAATAACTACAACATTCTGTATTAGCATTAGTCATGATTTGAAATAGTACCACAGTGTTTCTACAGATTGCAGCACAGAAAACTATTTTACTTTTGAATAAGTCCAAATGTATTAAACCCCAATCGCAGCACACCTGTGCACTTAACAACGTTTAAATTCTCCAATGTTAAATATTAAAACATAAAAACCTTTATAAAAGTACTGTATTATAAACAATAAAAGGGATGACTTTTTTAAATGTATGACAACAGCTAATTTGCAACCAAAAGGTGAGTGAGCGTAGCGAACGAACATCAACCTGGAGGCAAGTAAGCGTAGCGAACGAGCTAACCTGAAAACAAGTGAGCGCAGCGAACGATTTCCAACCTGAAGGTGAGTGAGCGTAGCGAACGAACTTCAACCAGGACGTGATTGAGCCATACGAATACTTATGAAGTTAAGCGGGGCAAAGCCCGCGGGTACAGCTAGTTTTAATTTAAAAGGGATTCTACACATATACAGGAAAATATCTTTCTAACAGTATACGTATTTTTCTCTGTGATGCACACGAGCTGAGAATAAAGATTGTCAAGAAACATGCTTGCCTATTAATATATAGGATTTTATTTATTTATTTCACGCATAAAACTACCTGAAAATTCTGATACAGCGTTTACAAGTGTACGGTACTGAATGCGATATTACCACCGACTAATCGATTACTCGATTATTCGACTACTCGAATACTCGGTGCGTGGGCTCGTAGGCTGTTATATTTACTACACCCTGCACTCACCATTGCAGCTGAGGTGACGAAGGCCGATAATATATCGTACCGCGTTGTCTGTGGTCAAAATTGACCGTAGATGATTTGTTTGTCTCCCAGTCTAGGGCTGTGGGCCAAATTTCAACTCGAGAATAAAATACAGCGGTAATAATGTCATAGTGAGGCTTCAGTGATTCTATAATTTCCTGTTTGGCAACTAATTTCAACTAGCTTCACTTCACTCCGAGATCTTCCACCTTCATCATAGATAATTATTTATTGCACGAATAAATTGACTGTTAGTAAAATTAAATACATCAATTTAACAGTTAACTTTAAGATTTTTTGTTTTATCTTGTAAAATACACGTCTAACTTGCAATACAAACTACGTTTTGAATATTTGTTTGATTCAAAGCCGAATAATTCATTATTCACAGTCTTCCTTGAGTAAAAATTTATTATATAACACACGTCACTTATTCATCTCTTCTTGTTCAAACAACACACGAATGGCAATTGTCGATTGGGTTGATTTGCATTTTTGTATATTGACAGAGTTTTTATCATTCCAAATTCATTTTAAGTTTCACGAACAGTTCAACTTTTACATAGCGTAAGATAACTAAATCACGTAACCAGACTTAAAGAATATCGTATTTCAGTAGTTATAATTTCACTGGATGAATTGATTTTTTGATGATTTTTTACTAGGTTGACTTAGGCATATAAATAATTTAAATATTTGAATAATATATTTATATCTTAACGAGTCAAAACTGAATAATACCAAGTAAAATAATTCCAGTAAATTAATTAAGTAGCGGTAGGCCAGGTAAAGTACAACTATAATCCAACATCCATACTTAACTATCCATAACTGATTCATTCAGCCAAACAATTATAACTCGTAAAACCATATATATTTCATATCTACTTTTATTATGTTTGCACCAAAACCAAATCGATGTAAAATTACGTTTAAATGCTACGGAACTTCAGTTTTAACATTATAACACTTACACGCTAAAAAATGTTACTGACAAATAGTTCTGGAATGTAAATAGTTCATGCTGTTGACAAATTACATTATTTACTTTTTCCGTGAGCAGAAACTTTGAAATCTATATGCGAGTTGACGCGATATGTTTTGCATAAGAGTGGAATGTGTCTAAAGTATTCCCTTGGCTAGATCCCTGAGGCTCTTGTTAAAGATGTAACAGCTAACATTTGCAAACTATTTAATAATCAAATAATTGAACAGTATTATGAGACAATAAATTACTTGAGAGTGCGAACTGTTAAGCAATATATTTAAAAAATCACTTTAGTTTAATATTTTCATATGTGTATCAGCGCAAGTTTTCACTGATTACTTGAATTAAAGAAAGATACGTGTAAAATAAAATAAGCCTCACAATTGAATTTTGTTTCGATATGCGTAACTATTAACATTGACTATACAACGTATGCAATTAAAGTAGTAAATGCTATTATGTATAAAAAAAACAAACTTCCTCATTCACGTTCTCTTCCAGTTGCAAACTCAAAGCACGAGTTTAACTGCAATAGCTAAGCACCTTACTTTACAACCAAGTGCAAAGGAAAGTACCTCTGTTAGTATTAAGATGCAGACTAAGAATTGTCCATTCGTCAATTTCTCCTTTGTTTCATTATTCTATTTTGTTTTAGTGTCTCCATTTCTGCGTTTCTTAGTTTTTTAATTTCTTAACTTTTTAGTTTTTTTTAAATTTTGTATTTCTTTATTCATTTTTATTTGTCTCCATTTCTCTAAAGTCCATTTGTCCGTTCGTACATTTTGTTTTTCTATGTTTATTCATTACCTGTCCATTCCTCTATTTTTTTAATTTCTGCTGCAATTCTTAATTCCTCTATTCCCTCATTTTCCATTTATCCTCTTCTAGATTCCTCAGTTTGCTTAATTTGTCCTTCAGTGAATTAGTCCGTTCATTAATTTATCAACATGGCCTGTTACTTCGATCGATTATCTATTCTATTTTCTTACTAGTGTGTTCAGTTTACTTAATTTTCCTTCTTTGAGTTTTTTATTCGACGCACACTATAGGCTACATTTTTTTATGAAAACACCTGGCTCTAAATAATGTCCACATCGTGTTAAACAATAACCAATGTTGCACTCTGTAAAAGGTTTGTGTCCAGGGAAGTTGCAGATCGATATTTGAGATGTGGAAATATATGTCTCTTTCAGAACAAAGTGCTAGAATAACAAGTCTGAAACCGTCACCACCCCCAACC